AGCAACAACACAGCGAGGAAGGGACGATTCTCTACCTAACCTCAACAAGCTGCATTGAGCCGTAGTGGCTAATCAAATGGAAAAGAAAATGGAAAATGAAATGGAAACTGGGGTTATATAGGAGTTATTTAAGTAATATTTTATGGAGGCTTCGCAGCCACCCTTGCAATGTGACAGCTGGATGAGGGGCCAGTGGCAATAGAAGTAGCAGCAGCGAAGTAGCAATAGATTCTCACTTTCAATGATAACGGTACTTGTTGCTGATGTGGTTGTTGTTGCGGTGGTTGTTGTTGTTGTTGTTGTTGCTGCTGATTTCGTACTCCTCCTCCGCCTTTTCCTCCTGCTGCACTACCACCCCTTCCTTCACCATTCGTACTGCAAAGCTGTGACTGAAGTCCTTGACGGTGATCTGCTGCAGGAGGTTGGCTTCCTGCTTGACAGCTACCTGGCAAATCCCACTCAGTTGGGAGCTTCTAAGCTCCTCAACTCATTGCACACTTTGTTCAGATCCTTTTTGATGAGATTATACTGAACCCGTCTGTTGGCTTGATGGCATAATTGCGCTGACACACGAAAAACAATGGATCTCGATGCAACAATCCAGTAAATCCATGAATCAGCAAAAAAAGTCTTCACAGTACAAGAAGGCACTTGCATCCCACAAGTGCACCTCGTCTCGCCGATGTCTGGCAGAGAGGATCCGCTCGCGCGTCTCTTTATTCCAGTGCTGGGCTCTTGCCTCAGACAAGTGCAGGCTTGTTGCCCTCAAAGTGTTGCAGAAATGACTTCCTTCTTTTTCTCAAGAAAACTGCCGGAAGGGATGGGCATGACGCAGAGCTGGTATGGCAAGCATCGTGCTCGAGTCCCCAACCAAAGCATCACGCTTCCAACCAATCCTGTAGCAAGGACAGCAAATGGCTCCCAGAACCTCAGCAGAAGCCTGAATTGAGATGACAAAGCTTTGAAGGACAGTCCTGAAGCCTTGGAGGTTCTTCTCCTCAGTGGTTAGACTAGGGCTTGACAGCTCAGACTTCCGCTGCCATGGCTGAGGACTCTGCCATCTTATCGACCTCTCGAGGAGCTTTGAGGTAGGTCCCATCCAAGGGCTCCAGGGGTGGCGGAGGAGCCTATCATGTTCAAGATCTCAGCATTACCCTGTCAGGCATGAAGGGCTGAAACACCAGATCCTTGCCTCTATCTTCCGGACATACCGGTACCGGAGAAGCTTGGAGTGCAAGCTCTGCCCCTCTTCCTCATCATCATCTTTCCTCACCTGCGAAACCATGGCTGTGTTGGGGCATACGCAAATGAATGTCAGAACCGCCAATGGTCATCATGATTGCTAAGTTGCTTAAGAGTGATGCGGCTACACATGCTGCAGCTGCTACAATTGCTAGTTTGCTTGCTGTTCCCACTGGCTCCACTGCTGTTGTCATCGCTCATTGCTGGCACCTCAGCCGACTTGCTGGCACCAGCTGTAGAGAATCCTGCTCCCATGTGGTCTGTGTCCACGCCGGCAATCAAGTTCCGTAGCTCCACCTGGCCACTGGATGGGGCCCTGATCTCGTTTACATGGTTCTAGAAACTGTTGATTGTGGCAAAGCATGTGATTCCGCTACTCATGTTGGAGTATGAACCTAGCTTTATTTCGCGGAGAAGAGTGACCTGTCTTCATCGTGTTCTACCTGATTCCCTGATGATACTGATTGCACCATGTCTTCCAGAATTCCTGGCGTGCTCACACGATCCAAGCGTGCAGGATTCCTGTGACTCTCCAATTGCGACCAAACAGTTCAGGCGTTTTTTGCTGCATTTGGGGAAGCACGCCGGAATAGCCGAAACGCTGTCGATGTCTGCTGCCAGCGCTCTGGAGTCCACCGGGGGGGCCTCAGTGCGCCGAGAAGTCTTGCGGCATTTGTTACTGGAACATGGGGCCTGACCCAAAATGTTTAAAGTTCGCATGAAACTTGAGCTCCAATTTTTGGACGGGGGACTCCCTTTTTCAGACACGGCCGCATGAACCATCTTTAGACAAGGCACGGAACCAGCCTTTCCTGAAGCAGCCTCGGAGAAGCGCCTGGGAGGAGAATTTGGGGGGTCCCTTCTGTATCCCTTCTTGGGGTCCCTATGACTCGATGATGCACACGGTACATGAAAAGGGTGCAAGTACTGATCTCGGGGTTTGATCTAGACCGTCAGACCGTTGTCGTTGTTCTCACTTCTGTAAAGCTAAAGCGAATACTGCCACTATCATCGCTGCTGGTACAGTCGCCCTATCGGCGTGGACAGTTCTACTATCATTCTATCTTGAAGGGTCCCAGACTCAGACAGAGGGGACCCATACCTCGTTTCCAAATTGGCCTATTGTCGCTGGAAGCTGGCCGAGGACGTTTCGGTGCAAGTTGCCTTCTGCCTCTAAAAAATGCACTGTAAAAATGCCACCCTAAACCCTAAATTGTAGTTTCCATTTTATTTTCCATTATCCCAATATAACCCCAATATTACCCCTAGGGGTAGAGCAGAAACCCCAAAGGCTTGGGTTCAGAGCATGCTATGAATATAAACCCTATGTAAACCCTATATAATCCCTATAGTTTCCATTCTCTTGTCCGTTAAGGCAGAGCAGAGCTTGGTTTCATGAAGCTTTTCCCAAAGGAATGCGAGGAGCCTGTCACGGTTCTTCTCCCGAGGGCTTCCGTCAGAGAAGCTGGACTGGTGTATGGCCTTGGTCGCTGCCCCAGCGATTCACTAACAGCCTCCTCTTCCTGTGACATGGGATTCCCAAGGATGCAGGATGCACGACACCTGTAACCCTCTGAGAACTAAGTGAATCTGCGAGACAGTGACCAAGTGACCATGCATGTTGCAGTCTTCTTCCAAGTATCCAGCCTTGCTGTTCTTCGCCACAACCTTTTCCGCAGCAAGGACCAGTCAAAGGATTGAGCACTAATCTATGTGCGCAAGAATCTCATGGCAGAAATACCACTACTGAAGCTTTGAGTGCTCCCACGTGAGGCGCAGGCATTGTTGCGACTGGCAACCATGGTCGACACCGCCTGGCTACCTGTGACACTGGCAAAGAGGCATGTCAGCACGGATACCTATGACGATAATCATGGTCATAAACGGTAAAGGTAGGAAATGATCATGGCCCATGATAAACCACAGCTGTCGCAACACTGATCGCGCCAATTGCTGCCGTCCAGGGCCTCGGTCCCTGAAGCGGTAGAGCTTCTTGGCGTAGCTGAACTGTCCACCTTCGGCTGCACAGCGAATTCACTTCCAAATCTTGCTGCTACACTGCTACACTACCGGGCCTGGAGAGGCGGTGGCTGCCAGCGTGAGCAACGACGGCCTTGGCCCAGGCAACATCACGGTCCTCCTGAGATGGCGGTTCCCCGAACATCCCTGAACCCTGCCTTCCGTCGTTGACGCGGCATGAGCGCGACATCGTCTCTGCCAGACGCTCACGCTGCCTGGGGGCATGCAAGGCATCACAACCAGGAAAGTGGAGAAAGAGGAGGACTAAGGTAAGGGCACACTCATCCGCCTCTCGCTGAACATGGCCTCGCCTTCATATGCTCCTGAGGCAAAGCTCGGCAGGTGATCATCTCGCTCATAAGGAAGTGAAAGGCAGATTAATGGTAGCGCTAGGTAGGAGTCAGAAAGTCGTCGGGCAAGGCGGCCCAACTCTTAAACAACTGGTCCTAGAACATCGTTGACCGGCTGGAAGTTGAAGTCGCAATTTCGGAGAACTGCAGACGCCATGCCTCACAGCCAGCACGAGTTCCAAGTACAAGGGCGCTGTTGTAGCAACCTTTGATGCAGCAGCTGAAGCTACACAAAATCAGCCCACTACATCCAGCAACTGCTGGCTGGTGCTGCACCCACTCGTGCCAAAGGATGCCAAAGGCCAAGGCGCCTTGGGATCCTTGGGATGCACAAAGCCTGGAGGAATGGTCCCTGTGGGCTTCGCCTTGAGGAGGATCTCTCCGTAGGAATGAGGTCTGCGAAGCTGTTTGTCTGTAATGCCATTTCATGCAGAAGGTGTGCTGGCGCAGCGCGCACTGTCACTTGGGGAGGTGTCAGGTAGACAGTCTTCCTGTTGCTGGGTTTCCAAGGCGGCAACATGCTGCGCAGTCTTCTGGAGCCAAAAGTCAGATCCAATCAAATCAAGTCTCCGCAGGGCTTGGAGCAGCTTGAGGCAAGGAGCCTCATTCTTGAGGTCGATCCTGCGGTTGTCGGACAGGCCGTGCTTCTTGAAGCTCTTGACCGCGCACTTCTCGCCATCTGCAAGGAAACGCACACGCTCCTCCTGCCCTACCGTGTGGTATATGACTTATTGGAGTCAGGAATCCGGCCTTTGCCTGTTGCCAGCTGAACTGGGCCACTCATTCCGGAACCCAGCACCTGCCATCAGGGCAAGGTGAAGTACCACAGCAACAGCAGGGCCTTGAAGTTATCACAGCCTTGCTGTTAACCCTGTAGTCATCTCGGAGCCGCCTCAGTGCGATTCAGGTGAGCTGGGGACTCTTCACCCTCTCCTCATGCCCCCTTTCCATCTGCCCCATGTCCCCATTGCTTGAGGACCCAGCCTGGATGTGCAGTAGCGACCAGTGACTGGGATCTTACCCTTCCTCTCTATCACCTGACCACACAGTACGACGGTCGGTGCTACAAACTCAAAAGCCCAGAAATCGTGTCTCAGGTTGAGGCAGAGCAGTAGCATTAGAAGCAGCTACAACGCCCGCTTACATAAGCAGGAAGAGGAATCTGAGCAGGGTATATATATATACTACTATACTGTATTACAATACTAATCTACAATAATAACAGTATACTCTACTAATATACTATCATAACAATCTACTATAGTAATATTCTATAAAACTGCTTTGCGCATATATATATATGTATATGTATATATATAAATATATGTGATTGTCCAGCCTCTTCGGTGTTGATCCACTTGGACTCATTGTCCACCAGGTTCGACCTTTCTTCAGGCCCAGGCCGTCCCAGCGTCCGCCACATTGTAATATATCATTATTGTAGTATATTATAGCAGCATATTATCATTGAATTATAGTACATTATCACTATTATGTGTTTTCCATTTCATGTTCCATGTTCTTTTCCGTTTGATTCTCCATTATCGGGGTTCATATAAGCCCCCTTTTGTATGCTTCTCAAGTCGGCCAATGCCAAGAGGAAGCCAAAAGTCAGCTGAACAGATCCGACGAGCCTGGCTGACTCCGTTTCTGAAAGGCTCGCAGTTGAACCGAGAAACCTGCGAAGCACTTCACCAGCAACCGACTTTTATCCTCTGCTGCAGCTGTAGACCAAAGACCCTGAATTGCTTCAGGTGTTGCAGTCACGTTGAGCACTTGAACACGTCTTCAGATTAAGCATCTATGCGAGGCGTAGGGGATCTCATCACGTGCCTCTGCGTCAGCGAACGGAAGCCTTCAAGTATTCCGTCTGAACAGCAGTCCATCATTGCCAGGCTGGCTTCTCCCAGCGAGGTTACAGAGGAACAGACGGAAGACGAAGCAAATATGGGCTGTAGGCTTTGAATCTTCTATCCAACAGGCACTTAGATTTGGTGAGCTTGAGTTGAAGCTTCTGGCTGTTCACCATCCTAGCAGCGTTTCAAAGTACCACACCGTGGAAAGCTGAGGCAGGTAAGCCAAGCACAGAGCAAGGTTGTACGCTGCAGTAGGAACTCCCTGTTCCCCCAAAATCAGCTGCGTCATGTCAGTCGATGTCGGTTACAATTTTTTGAGACCTGCCTGCGGATTGTCTTTTGTGAGAGACATTGTGGCTCTCCACTCACATCCATCGGCAAGCTCGGCTTGGAGGAGTGAGCAGAGCTGACGTGAGACGAGAACGCTGTGTTGGCGGCTTTGGGAATCGCGCCTCGACTAAAATCAATGGCGAGCCATACAAGCTGAACAAACGCTTATCAACTTCTATGCGGTCACGTAATCGTACGTGATTGAAAGCGACATCGCCGAAGGCCTAGTTGGTCTTTTTACGGGCTGCGCGTCCGTCAGGGTCGAGGCACACCACATCCGAAAGCCGCCACGCACGTCTAGATGGAAAGAGCTTCCCTCAACGTGCCAACCTCCTGGAAGCCCTGGAACCTCAGGACTATGCTGACCGCCACAAGTCGGAGCACAGAAGCACTAATAGCACCGTAGTCTAACTGTTGACATTGCTAATATCACTGCCATTCTGACGCAATGAATAAGCCGGGAGATGCCGGGAGTTTCCATGACGTTCCACTCTGAGCACCGCTCCGATCTTCAGGGAGGTGAGTGAACGACAGTGGGGCCTGCCCCACCTGTCATGAAATTCTGGGCCTGGTGCTGACCAAGGAGCCCTTGAAGTGTAAGCTGTCATTCCCCTGCTTGGAGCCGTGTAAGAATATGATGCTAAAAAGTCTGAGTCGGAGAGTTGCACATCACATACAGCCCTGAGACCCACACCTCAAATGCGATGGGGCGCTCCGTGGGCACCTGGTTTCAAGAAATTGCTGAGAATGGAGATGAGGGGAAAAAACCACTTTGTTTATCCTCTATTCTGTGCACTTGTGCAGCCAATGCTATTGCTGTAATACTCGTCGTAGGCAGGCACAAAAATGGTATTCTTCCGGCAAAGAGCAGAACCAGTGTAGACGCGGTCCTTAAATAATTACATCCAAACAGCAGTGTTCAGAATTCAGAAAGAGTGCGCACGGACTCTAGAGCGTGTAAAGAAACAGCTACACAGCAGGGCCCACGGGTATGTTCAAAACATGACTGCCTATTTTCTAGACATGCCGCCGTCGTCAGTTGACACTTCATCTCCATCAGAATGCGCGAAACATTCTCGCATAAACATTTCCTTTCCCAGGTAGATCCTGCTACTTATTCTTGTAAGACCTTAAAGTAAGCTCCCCAGCTGCAGGACAAAAATACCTCCAATACTCCCTGTAAACTCTCGCATATACCCCACACCAGCCTCACCGCCTGACATGCTTGCACCGTCATGCATATCAAAAAGTGCGCAGGGCTATGCAGGGCTCAATGGTAGCTTCAACAGCTCATAATGAGAATTCCACCCACTAGTCATAAGTGTTCCCTTAGCATGTCATGAGTGTTCCGGTCACATATCCGTACTGGTAACAGTTGGGAATATCTATTCTTCGGGGTCGGGAACCCTTGCTCCGCAAGGCACCTCCGCCTGGATCACTCTGCCGGAGGCCCCGCGGCCGCGGTCGGCACCTACCTTCGGCGGTGCCTGTGCCTGGAAGAAAGGGTAAGCTGCGGACTGCTCAGGATATGTGGGGCTTATGCAGCTGGGCTAACTAGGATTAGGGTCTCTCTTGGAGAGTACGTGATTTGGAGAGTTCTGGGGGTTGTGTGGGAATTTTGCAGGGCGATTGAAGGGAAGATGATGGACTGCAGTGAATCACTATTGACGAGGCATTCGACCGTCTAGGCAGATGACTCTGGACGGACGGCACCTTTAAACGAGGATCAAGCAATCTGAGTCACACCAGCGAACCAGACAACGGATGTCCCGCAAGGATTTCTGAACAGCGGCAATCTTTGATTGCCAGTATCATCATCACATCGTCATCATCATCACTCCTTACATTCATCCTTGCAATCATGATCATCATTGCCATCATCATGCGGCTTTTGTCGAAGCCCTTAAGGCTTCGACAAGAAGCTTGGCAAAGCTTCATGTAGAGTTTCAGATAGAACTTCGGGTCAGGCTACAGCTTCCTTTCAACCTTTGGATTGAAGCTTCTCTTCGAGCTCCCATGGAATTCTATTCCCTTTTGATATATCTTATGTTGAAGCTTCGATAATTCCGTTGACTAAAGCTCTCATTACAAGCTTCAAAGAACTCTTGCGAGAGCGCTTCTGTTCAAACTCTCATTTTCACAGATGTTCTAGCTTTCTAGCTTCAACTTTGCGAATCAACACTTGAAACCAAGCTTTAATAACAGCCTTCCTGCATTGAAGCTTCTATTCAGGCTTCAGTGGTAGCTTCTATGACCGCTTGTGCTCAGGGTTCTGTGAAGTTTTTCATCAGCCCGTCTACTCAATATCTTTAAACTCATTGAATGTTATGTACAAGCTTTGGTGAGAGATCCTGCTCAAGGCTATAAAGATACGATTCCATAAACACTTCTTGCAAGGTCTGCCCAAGCTTTTCCTTGAAGCTTCAAGAAAGCTCTTGTATCAAAGCTTTTCCTGAAGCTACTTGTAGAGCGTTTACTGACGCTCCCATTCACACTTTAGTCAGGCTTCCACTGAAGCTTCTACTGATCCAAGCCTCTGATAAACTCTTGTTCGAACTCCCAGTCCTATGTAGACTGTATCCAAGCTTAGCTTCATTCAAGTCGCTCTTAGGAAGACAACAGAAGCGAGGATGGCATCCCCCACTTCCGCACTTCGGCGACGTTAGGGCTCCAAACCACAGGTCTATCGGGGTTTTTCCCTTCACAACGCGTCGCTTGCGTTTCACACTTCTGAGATTTGGTTAGCCAGGAATGCAGGAATGGATCCTTTATTAGTCCCTATATATAGTAGTAATTTCCGTTTGCTTTTCCATCTCCTCATTCCCAACTCACCCGAGGTAAGACTTTGGCGACATCAGAGCTTGAGAAGCTTGATGTCCTCGAGTTTTGCGCCTACGCGCCTTGACACATCCCGAACAACGACAGTTACACACTTTTGGGGCATGTCAAACTAGCTATGCACTACAGCCCGATGAATTAAGTTCCGCGTTGGCTCAAATGCGTACAACATTACAAGGCTTGCAGTGACACATGTAGAAAAGTTGAAGTGCCCATCAATCTCAATCTTGATGCTATGGCTATGCGGCTATCAGGCCTGGACGAGGCAGACTCCAACTGTGATCAACACCGAAAACATCAGCAGCAGCGCAAGGGCGGTGACATCTCGTCACCAAGCTTGTCGTCTGCAGGCTTACTGGAAGGCACGTGACACAATTTTTGCATGGCTGCAATTCTGTTAAGCTTTCCCAATCAATGAATGGTCCCCTGCTCCCCCAACCTCAAAGTGAGCCTTCCACACAAGTCATGATGAACCATGCACATACCATCCCCAATTTGGGGATCCGTACAGCTGCATGAAGGATGCAACACATTGCTCGAATTATCATGCACCTCCCCGGCTGGCCACGTTTGCAGCCGCCCGCCGGCACAGCTGCTGCAACATTCTGCAGCGCTCCAGCAAAACCTCATGGATGTTTTCACCGTCCATGGCCAATCCGTCAAACTGCGCGGACTTCACCAGATCATCTTCCAGGAGGTCGAAGGTGACATGGCTTTGTGAAATCAGTCGGAGGCCGTGCCTCTGCAAAACAGCCTTGACCTTGAGGCTGCTTTCGACATCACCTGGGCTCGCGTGAAAACCCCATGGC